ATATGATGTGACTAAAATTTGAACAAGAGGAGAGAGGGGAAAGGCAAGACAGGGCTCACAATAGAAAAATTAAGAGAAAGCTGTACCGGCTTTATATTAAGGAAAAAGCATTCTATGGACTAATTCATTTTCAAATACAGGATGGGAGGCCGAGAGTGAAAGAGTTACGAAAAATTAGAGAACGCTGGTGAATCATCCAAGAAATTTTACCCTCTTTGTGTTCCTTTTCTAACTCCGTTCCTTCAAAAGAGAGCAAGGCAGGATGACCAGGCATCCATCTTCGAGAGTCTGCTAACCACCTTTGACGGCCCAGCATGCAGCCACCCACCCCCATATTCAAGGAAAATAGGACTTTGAAATCCAACATTTAAAGTCACTCAACTCTGAAAACAGTGAGGACATGTTGAATATTCCAGGGCTGAACATTATTGACCTGCTCGCCTCCCCCCAGACAGATTTTTTTTTTTCCATCAGTAGGAATCCTTCCTCCATGCTAATCAGAGGTAAGCTTTTAAGTAGAGGAACTAAGCATGATTCAGCACATTTAAAAAGGATTTATACCCATTCTTAGAAGGACAACCAGAGGAAACACCATCTGAAGTCTAAACAATGATATCTCCTTGCCCTTTGATCTGAGTTTAAGAACACTTTGTACAACTTTTTGTTGTTGAAATACCACTGAATTTCACATTTACTATTTGAAATTTCTTTAGAACATCCACTGCTCCTCTGAACCACACTCTTGCAACCAAATTCTCCAAATTATATTTGCTGTGAGTAGCTTGCAGGCAGGGATTTATTTTCTGCTAACAAAAATCTTCATAAGTACAGGCAGCCTCCATGAAAAATAGTACCACTGATCCTATGTTTATGAGAAAAAGACAGTACAGTGTATCTGGTTACAAATACAAGTAGGGAGTATTCCATTTTTCTTCTAATTTATGTTTCCCAAGGGTAATTTTGTTCAGAAGATTGCCAGTATTTTTAGTACAATAAGTTTCTTGTTACTTGTACTAATACATACTGATTTCCTTTTCTGAGCATATTTTGAGTTTTATTCCCTTTTTACCCTAGCATCTAGAGATCAACACCTCATTAATTGAAAATAAATGAAGTCTGAAATGCAGAGATTTAAAGAAAAATTTTGCACTACTCTCAAATGTGATGCATATTAGAAATATACATATTAAAACAGGTATATTAATAAAGCATTATGATATACATTGGATACCATTAACCTCCATGTCCTAAATGTCTTTACTTTAAATGTCTGACTTAACAGAAATCAGGTACGCCATTTCTAAGTGAGCAGATCTTCCAGATCAGTGAAATATGAATTTTAAATGAAGGATAGGTCTTTTTCATTAATTCAGTCTTTATTAAGCACCTTCCATGTGCTCAGCATGATATTAAGACTTAGGTTTCAATGGTGGATAAAGGCCTGGTTGCCTTTTGAGGCTGCCACCCAGAGGGGTGACATGTGAATAAGCAAATTTTAAAGAAAAAAAAATTATACATACACACACACTCTTTGTGATAAGTGCAACCAAGGGAATAAGCAGCATTCTGTGACGGGGGGAGAGGGGAGACAGCACTCTTTGCTATAGAGGGGTTAGAGAGGCTTTTCTAAGAAGGTGAATTTTAAGACCTAAAGGATATTTCAGGATACTTCTCCAAGGTCACCAAATTGGCAGTACTGCTTATTAGACTGCCAAGACATTTTTAGCATTAGAAAACAAGAATAAAATGGCATCTGGGGCCCTGATTGAATGCACCCGCTCTGCCAGGCACCCTACGCACCAGCCCGTCAGTGCTAAGGAGGTTACACATCTCCAACCTATTCACCCAGAGAGAGTTTCAAACAGTCAACATCAACAATAGTGAGCTGGTTGAATAACCAGCATTTGGGATATGTGGGAGAAACTTAATTCTGTTGATTCATACTGCCTAATAGCCACTCCAGCTGAGAAGGCTCAGCGTGTTTCAGATGTATTTCATGAGTAAATTATTCTCCCTTCCCAGGGGAGAAAAAAAAAACGTTTACAACTATGTATCACTTTCTCTTATACTTTCAGTTTATTTATCTAACTCACTAGGTGTAAAAGTACTTGAAAACATGTATCTTTCTGCAGGTTCTTCAATGAGTCAGGTAATGCAGCCGCTAACCTGCCATGGATGTGGAAATCGGCAGAATTCTCCAACATTCTTATTTAGAGAATCCACATTGCTAAGCAATTACTTTCTTCAAATGAACTGTCCTTAAGCTCAGAGCTATGATAATCAGATTTTATCACATTTTAGCCTCTCGTTCTGAAATCCTCTTTCCTACTGCTAAACGGATTAAGATTAAATAGAATTGCTGGACTAGCAGGTGGCATGGCTTGTGACTTGGATTCTACTTACCTGAAGGTTTCCCCCCTCAACTGCCCCCGTGGAGTCCAGGGCTGGACCTACAGACAGTGACGACTCATAGTCAGAAAGCCCCGTGCTATGACAGGAGGGGCCTGGGGCCGAGTTTCCTACCCAGGAATCTCTTCCAGTTCCACATCAGCCTGTCCCAGGCCCGAGAGGACACTCCTGTTGAATTCTCTTGGAAATTTTTTGGTGTTGTTTTTTGGATCTTGAAGTTTCCCTTATGAGAAATGTAAGTTAAATCATCCCCTTAGCAGGATTAGCTGACAACCAGCTTCAAGCAGTGTGACTCAGAACCAATGTGTACCTGTAGACCAAGAAAGGTCACACAAGCAAGGAACGAGGAGAATTTAGAGGTCATTAAACACAGTAAATGTCACCATCCTTTACAAACTTAGCCTGAAGCCAACTCTAACAATTTCAAATATCACTTCAGGCAGTGGTTCCCAAACACTGGATTCACATGAAGAATCTGAATTTAAAACTACGGACACCTGGCTTCCACCCCACACATTCTGATTTCATTGATACGAGGTACCACCTCAGCATCTGGGTTTTTAAAAGCCCCCGGGTGATTCTAATGTGCAGCAACATTCCAGAGCCACTAACATAAAGAAGCATTGCTCTTGATCTCTCACTGGAATGATCTGATTTCCTTCAGACATCAGGATCACGTCAGTGTTTCTTGACCATGGTGGCATATTAGAAAAACCAAAGACACTTAAAGAAAAAAAAAAAAAGATGCCAGAGCCCACCCTCAAAGACTCTGACTTAACTGCTCTGGGGAGCAGCAGCCCCAGCATCCCTTAGTTCTTTAAGTGTCCGCAGGTGATGCTAATGGACAGCCAAGGTTAGAACTGGGGTTTAAGCCCAGGCACGGTTCTCTGGAGACTGTGAATGATTCTCCATGAAAGAGCCAGAAGTGCCATTCATCCTCCACTTTGTCCAGGTTGGGACCACCCCAAGAGGCAAGGTAACATCTCCCCAAGGCTGTCGGGAAACAGGGGAGGGGGGTGGCAAGGGGTGAAATTCTAAGCGAGAAGCAGCACGGAACTTAGAATGAGGAAGAGCGCTGGCCCTCCCCTGCAAACTTTATTGACGGCAATGAGAATCCTTAGAATATTTCCTGGAGGTGCCTCAACCTTGGATTTGGTTCCAATAAATGGTGAAAATTCTTATCCAATCAGAACTCCTGGCCCTGCAAGCAGCAAGATTGGCAGGCCTTGAGCCTCCACCCCCTGTAAGATTCTGTTTCATGAATTTCCCAGGAGGATTTCTGCACCAGTTGGATGCCAATCTGACCTCCCTCTTGGGCCCCGCACTCCTTCCTTCCCCCCAAACCCAGCAGAGAATCATCTCATAGATACAGTTGTAAAGAACTCGCTGAACTATTTTACATGGTAATCATTCAAGTAAATAATGTCCAGTGCAGACACTTTTGACGTGGCTTTGACAAGTGTCTGGTAACCCGCTTTGGGGCCTGGGCAGGGCCACGCGTCTCACACGGGAAAGGAAGTCCGCGGAGACCCACCCCTGGCGTGGCTACGGCGCCCCCATTTCTCCCCGCGGAGAACGTGTCCCCTACAACCCTTTGTCTACGCTAAGCTGAGTCAGTTTATGAATGAAGAGTAGCACAAATCAGAGGCACTGATCCTGAAAAAGTCTTCCTTACACCGTTCTCATTTACAGATGAGAAAACTCCGGGGTGGGGGGGGGCGGGAGGGAAGACTATGTGACTCCGTCCGGGTTTGCCACAGAACATTTGTGGCGGAGCCCGATTTAGCCGCCCTTGAATTTCCATTCTGTTGCCTGGCAACCAGTTCAGACCAGCTCAGTGCCCAACCCCGGCCCCTAACCCGCACCCTTTCTCTGCCCGTACGGCTCGGGGTAGCAGTGATCAGAAGTTCAGCCTTTGGCGGCACCCGCCAAAGGCATGTGAACTAGGATCCCGGATGGGTTACCCCAACTGGGCTGGGGATCCGGTCCCAAACCCGCGCGAACCCCGTCTGGCATGCCTTCCGAGGTCCTTTTGGCACCTTCCTCTGCAACCCTCCTCCCCCAACTCCGTGGATACCACTTAACACAATCACGTCAAGTTTCCAAAGTTCTCCGTTGCTATCAGAGTCCCTGAAAGTCCCGGTGGAGAAACTGGCACTCAGAGCTTTAAGGATGCAAAAGAAATGAGGAGGGGAAGGAGTGTTGAAGAGCCTTCTCCTTGCCTGCTGGCTACACTCAGGCGGGACTTTTCTGCTAAAGTCGTGTTAACCTGGCCCCGGCATTACTGGAAAAAGCGCGGAGTACGCTCGGATGCCGCAGTCCGAGAGTCCCACGCCCCGGCGCGCCCCAGCCCGCCCGCCGCCTCCCGCAGCCCCAGCGCGCCGCCCGGCCCGGCCCGCCGCGCGGGGAAGCGCACGTGCAGCCCACCGCGGCGCAGGTGGCGGGAGCGCAGCCCGCGGGCCTTCGCGTCCCCACCGCGCCAGCCGGGCCCCGCGTGCCAGGGGCCCCTCCACCCTCTCGCCTCCCTCCCCGGGCCCGGGAGACCGTTAAGGGGAGAGTGTATTCGTGGTTAAGCTACCCCAGATCCTTACCCAGGTTCACAAAGCTCATGACCATGTCCGCGTCGTTGAGGAAGGCGCTGTCCTGCGCGCTGGTCAGTGGGGACGCGCCACCGCCGGGTCCCGCGGCCAGGAGGCTCTTGCTGTTGACCCGGGGCGCCGCGCCGGGGGGCGGCTGCCGGGGCTGGGACGAGCCGACCCCTCCGCGGGGCCCGTGCTGCCGCCTCTCCTCATCCGACGCCCAGTCCTCGTCGTCGTCGGCGGCCAGGGCGTTGTACAGATCCAGCATGAAGAGGGGCGCAGATTTTAGCCGCCCGGGAGGGGGCTCCCCGCGAGGCTGCTGCTGCGGGAGCGCAGCGGGCTGCGGCTGCTGGAGGCCGTGCAGGGGCCGGGGCCGGTGCGGGAGCCCCAGCACCGAGAGGATCTCCTTCTGCATCTCGCGCTTCTCGTGCGTCTTGAGCCGCCGGTAGAGGAACCCGGAGGAGGAGGACTGCGGCGGCGGCGGCGGCGGCGGCTGCTCCGCGTGGCCCGGGCTCCCGCCGTCCCCCAGCAGTGCCCCCCCGCCCGCGGCAGCGGCGGCGGCTGGCAGGGGCGGCCGCAGCGGCGGGGGCCCGCAGCAGCTGCACAGCAGCCCCCACCACCAGCACAGCCACTGCGCCCTCCGCCCCAGCATCCCCGCCCGGCCGGGCTGGCCCCGCGGGCCCCGCGAGGCGTGGAGCGGCGGAGCGAGGCCGGAGCGCGGCCGCTGTGGCCCTTGGCGTGAGCAGCCCCCGCCACCTCTCGGCGGGCTCGCTTCCCCTTCCTGGCCCTCAGTCCTTATCTCTCATCGTCCTCTGGGGCGCCCCCAGTTGCCCAGGCTGGAGCGGAGGCGAAGGGGGAGATCACCCGGAGAACCACTCGGAGGGGAGCCCCAGACTCCCGCGCAGGGCTCTAGAGGCGCAAGGTCCAGGCCAGGTGCGTCCGAGTCCCGGCTGCGCTGCAGCCGGCGCCCTCGCCCCTGGGCGGGTCACGGCGCGGTCACTCTCGGGCCTCGCTGCCCGCGCACGTGCGCTGTCCCGCGCCCTCCCGGGCGGCTGAGTGCGAGCCGGGGCGGCGGGGCGGCTCACCAGCTGGGGGAGATGCCCGGCATCATCCCAGCGCACGCCTCTCCTTGGCTCGCACGGCCGCCGCGAAGTTTACTCCGCGGTGGGGCCCAGGCTGTGGCGACACGGCGTCCCGAGATGCCAATCTTCTCCGCGAGGCTTAACTTCCTTCCCGCTCACAAACTCCGCGCCCCTCCGCCCTCGGGCACTGTCGCTCCCCCTCAGAATCTCGGCGCGCCGCTCGACCCCCCCAAGCGGAGGCGGCAAGGATCTTGCTTTCCGTTTAGAGCTCTCCCGGCTGCCCCGCAAACGCCGCTCGCAGAGGGGACCGGAGGGAACGGGACCCGCGCGCGGAGCAGTGACCGCGGCGACGGCGCGGGAATTCCCAGTCTCCCGCCTCTCGGCGCTGCGCTCCCCGCAGCGGCCAACGTGGGCTTTCTGGTGCGCGTCTCGCTCAGGTACCGCACTCCAGCCCCCGAGAGTCCCTGCCCTCCTGGGTAACAGACAGGCTGGCAGCCAATGAAGAGGCGCGTCTCGCCTGTATTTAAATAGGCCCGCCCCCTTCTTTCACCCTCCCTCTCCAGGGAGGCGTTGCCTCGGCCGCGGGTAGGTTTCAAGTACGGAGAATTCTTGGAGGCACCCAAAGTAGGCGCGAGGTAGCAAAGGCGAAGAGGTCATCGCTAGTAAGGACGATCAACACCCTAATGTAAACCTGTCTCTTTTACAATCACGTAAAAGGTCTGAATTGACGATTTAACTAAATAAAAGCAAAATCAGCTGTTAAATCAATGCCACCTGTATTCACAGAGAAAGGACAGGAATAGTTTTTATTACTTAGTGTCTCTTATGGATGTAACATAGGCGTTCAGCGGACACGTGACTTTCAAAGACAGCTGCTCGAAGTTGGGACACACCCTCCGAGAAGCTGCTCACAAATAGGCCACACAGAGGGCCAAATGTGAACCAGAGCCAGAGTCCTGGGGGTTTGGGACCAGTTCAGCCTTGCCTTGGCTTCTTAAGCTAGCACCTTAAAGAAAAGGGGTAATTAGGTAATATCAGAGAAAAGCAACCCTCTACTTTTCTTGGAAATATTTCAGTGCTTCTCCAGTTTTTCTGTTAACTTTTCATTTTAATGTATTGAAATACAATAGAGCTTTCATGATGCTAGATAGATAAAACTTGAGGAGAGGTGGTATAGAAAATTCCAGCCCAGGTAGGGGCTTGGCATGTTCCCATTCAGGGTAATAGACACAGGTGCTAAAAAGTCAGGTTGCCAGGAGCATTAGACAAGATCAAGCATAGAAGACACAGATTCCATGACAGGAATCACAGAGAGGGACCCCTCTACCCAGACACCACCACCACCATTGGCCTTTCAGGATGCAAATCCACCTGCTCTCACACTATCCAAGAATGCCCAGTAACCTACAGATCCTACAAACAAATTCACTTAAAACACTAGGATCTTTTACTTGGTGAAAAATGTATGGACTAAAAAACAAAAACTTCACTGATCGTCTTAGTTCACATAGTCCAAGGCATTTCTGAGCCAGACCAAATAGATATAAACTGTGGGATTCGTGGACTTTTGAGATCATGGGGTTTCTGATGATCGAAATCTGATAAGCGTTTCTATCTTATTTCAAAGAATCTGTTTTTCATGGGGGAAGGGTCCTCACCTCCCCCCAACCCACTGGACTGCTCTCTGGTTCTCTCTTGGCCCAGACACAGTGATCCTTTAGTCTTTAATTCTACAAATTTAATTTCTTAATTCAAATTTAATTCTACGAGTGAAGTCTTTAGTTCTACAAAGGTCTGAAGCCATTGACCTCAGGCAACACAGCTTCAACAAAACTGAAGACTGGTCTTTAGCGGGGATTCTTTTCTCGTGAAAAGAAGATATATCACTACTTGGTCTGGCACGCCAGGATCCTTAGAATTCAAAAGCCCCCATCACTTCTTTCTTCTCTATGGGACTTGTTTGGGCATAAAAATTACTGCAGTGCATAAAAATCACAGCAGCCAAGAGCCCTGATCAAAAGATCTGAAATCTCAGCAAGTATATGTAGGCTTCCTGCCAAGATCCTTCTCCCTTCGAAAACGTAGTCACACCTTCGTCTTAAGACCTCTAGTGAGACAGAAGCAGAGTAAAAGCAGTTCCAACCTGTTAGGGCACACGGAACGCACTGGAAAACTGTAAAACCCCTGAGCATAGACAAGGGCACTTATGTAGGGCTGTGCCATTGAAAACACAAAAATAGGTTTCAACCCATCTATTAGATATGCGCTTATTGTATATGCACATAGGATCTAACAGAGAACACAAACAGGTGTACACACATACCATCTTCCCCTTTTCTTAAACACTTGGTTAAAAGTAGATGGACCTTGTGACATGGGTTGAAAATGGCACTTAATGACTCTTTATCGAACATCTGAGCAATAGCCCTGATTCAGGTCTGCCATGAGCCTCCCATCCCCATTAAGAGGGCCTCTCAGTTCCTGGGGAGGAATAGTGCTGGAGAAAGGAGGTGCTGAGGGTGCCCCCAGATGATGAACACAAGAGCACACAAGTCTCGTAAGAGCCAGAGGGAGAATATGTGAAATGAAACGTGACAGTGATCATAAGGGACATTCAACTGAGGGCCACAAAAGAGGGTGTGCTCTCCTCCTGTCCCCACCACTCCCAACAGGTGCATGTGTTTGCTGGAACACACTAGGAAACCCCCTTGGTTTGGATATTGGGGCAAAGGGGGATAAAGAGATGCAGTTCTAACATTTCTATAACCTCAAAATTGGGACCACTGTTTTTTCCAAGACAGCTGGAATTCTGGGTGGCTAAGAACCTCTAACCCACCACCTCCCCCACTCCCCGCTTCTTTGAACCCTCCCCAGCACCCCCTGAGAAGTCTCGGAGAGCTGGACAAAGTCCAGATGTGATTCTGGAGGGATGGGGTGAAGGGAGAGGAGCAGGTTTGGCTTTGGAGTCCGCTGGAAATGTGTGAACCCACTGGAAAAAATCAGAGGTAACTTCGCCCCCTACAGGACACCAAAATATTACCGCCCCTTCCTCTGTGCGGGAACAACCCTCATTAAGTTCTCTGTGTCTCCAAAACATCTGGGTGGAAAGAGGAGGAATTCGGTCAAGAAGCCGGATGTGGGAGCCAATCCACATCAAACATCTGGTTGCTTGGCTGACCATCTCATGCAGATGGCCTTCAGTTTTCTGGAAATAGGTGGCCTATCCCACTCCCGCCCATTTAATGAAGGAATGAGGAACCCCTCACCATCAAGCACAGGTTTATTCCCTGACTTCAGTGACGCTGGGGAGAGGGCGAGAAGCCCATACCCAGGTGTTATTAATGCACAGGGTAATTCACACAACAAATTGTTTAAAACAGCAGTTCTTGTTTCTTTTATGAGGATTTCTGTTATACATTTAAAAATACACATGGCCAAATGACTTCTATTTTTTAAATATTTTTAAAAAATTTAAATTTAAATATTCTACACTCCACACTTCCCTTTGGATTACATTGTTAGCAATAAACTGCAATTGCCGTCTTTGATTTTGTCCTAAATCACACATTGTCCCCTTTCAACTGTCTTGCAGATGTGAGTAGGCTGCCTCTAGAATGAACGTAAGTGTCATAACCCACATTGCTCTTGTGTCAAAAAGCCTGAGGTCCAGTCACCTTGTATCCTTGGGAAACTCCACTTAAAATACTACATTTTAATCTCTAATATTTGTGTAAGGATTTGATTATTTCCTAACATTAATTTCTAAATAGAATAAAATGATCTGATTTCAAAAATATCAATTTGGAGTTGAGTGAAAAGGAAATATGGTGAGTAAATGTTTGCAGAGTGGGAGAGATGAAAATTTGAGAGTTAAATACTGCTTCTGAAAGCTACACCTGTAGGGCAGTCTTCAAAATACATGTCTCATCCAAAAGTCTGTGCTAGCAGTTACATGCACTCACACTTTCCTTTCTCTGTCAACAATTCAAAAATGCTGGGCATTCACACTTCAAAATATCATTCGAGCCATCATATTTTCCTACTCGTGAAGGACATCTGGTGGCAAAGTGAAAAACTAATACATAAATCTGTTTCCAGAGATTTTTTTTCCACAGTGTAACCCAAATGGCAAATCTGTTACTTGTGTGTGCTTCAAACTTTTTGGCCAAGCTCAGATCTTTATTGTCCTAGGATTTAGGCTGTCTACATAATATTAAGCAACAGAGTCTTCAGAAACATCCAAATGATTAAGTGGTTTTTAAATGTTTCATTGGATAATGGACATGTGCAGACTAAGTCTTAAACTCTTTTTTTTTTACTGAGCAAAACAATGCTTAAGACATTTCCATGACTAGTTCTACTATCCCTGAAGAGTCCTGTTCCAAGAAATCCTTGGACACTTGGCTCCACGGGGGAGTGCCCGAGGCTCCACAGCCTGTTCTTGCCTCTGAGCTTCTCTCCATTCTGTGGTCCCCTCTGTACCCCAGGTCCTGGATTTGTCTCTTGTGGCAACTGGGAGGCTCCATGAAAATATGACATTATCGTGCTGCCAAGCCCCTTAACTAGCAGCACGGTAAGCAATGGTGTGTGGGGATCGGGGAAAACCACACTGGGTAAAATCAGATTGAAATAAAAGCCAAGACCATCTCTAAAAGAGGAAGAGAGAGTCTAAGAAGTTGTGTACCAATGGGAAGGCGGAGGTTGACACTAATCACCCAGACTGCATTCATTCATTCATTTATTCAACA